TGGGGGGCAGGCTGGGACTAGCTGTGGTTGGGCCTCCCCTCCCCCTCCCAAGAGGCTGGGGCTGGCATAGCCCCTTACCTTCCCCTCTCTGGTAGTGGGGGGAGGGGCAGCAAGAGGCTGGGGCTGGCTGGGGCCCCAGCGGCTGGGGGGTGGTGCAGAGATCACGGCTCCCCGGCTTGCCTACCCTCAGGGATGGAGGGTTGCCGAGCATAGTGAGCAGTGGGTATAGCCCCTTAGTAATAAAACAAAACAAAATGTATTTTAAGAAATGAGATTCAAATCGAAGCAAGTGTAACAAATGGTTACTTACAAAACCAAGTCATAACACTCCCTCTGGGGTCTACACTTATTAATAGTTACCTTTGCAAGTTAAGCAAGTAGATTCTCACCCCAAAGTTCACTGCAGTATTTGCTGCCCCTAGGGAGACAGAAGCATCCCCTCTATTTCAAGGTGCCTCATCAGCAAATGGCTCCAGATTGCTGACTCATACTTTTGTCCTTACTTCCAGACAGTGTGATTCTCTCATTGTCATACTGTTCCTCTTCACTTCCAAGTGGTTTCCATGGCTATAGTATATCTTCGATGTTTTTCCATCAACTTTTCTGTGCATTACAGAATTCCTCCTGCTTGAACAGGCCATCACTGAGACATACGATTCTCTATTGACTCGCACTCCCAGACCACGTTTTCAAAATAGTTACATTATTCCTTAAATGTTACCCCTACACTCAGTTCACAGTGATTATAAGATACAAAGATTTCAGCAGATCTCACATGCTTGCCTTCATAGATAAATACCAGGAAAGTGGTGTAACGGGTGAAGCAAATTTGTCAGGACTGCGACAGAAGCTGCTTTTAAAGAACAGCGAAGCCGTGGCTGGTTGGCACCAATGGGCCTCTGTGTCACAAGCCTGTTAATACTGTTAATTGCCCCAAATGGTAATGCTGTTCACAGATCCCTGCTTCCAGCACCTTCTGCCAAAGGAGGGCTCTGCACAGGACAGAAAGACCACTAAGTACTGACGAATAAGGGTGTTAACCAGTCACCATGTTGCTGACCCACAAGCTCTTTCTGCCCACAAGGTCGTCATAGATTTTGGGGCATGTGCCTTGATACCATCTAAGACAGGGGTGGACAATAATTTTTTGCCGGGGCCCATTTCAAAATTTTTTGAAGTGGCTCCGGTCTGCTCCAAAAGGGGCGGGGCCTCAAATGGAAGGGGTGGGGCCAGGATGCTTCGGGCTTTCCCACCCACAGGCCATGATTGGTCTGAGGGTGGGGGAGCTCCTTTGCAACCCCCTTCCCACTAAGCACCCATGCCCCTGGCAGCGGGAAGAGACAATCAAGGCCTGGGGGCGGGGGAGCATGCAAAGCCTCCTCTCGCCCTGCCAGGAGTGCACGGCACTTAGAAGTGCCATGCGCGCCTCACAGGGTGGGGGTAGGGTGAAGGAAAGTTCACGTGCTCCTCCCACCCCCAGGCCACTCAGGGTTTGGGGGCAGGGGAGCACGCGAAGTCTCCTTCCGCTCTGCCAGGAACACGCAGCTGCGTGCTCCTGGCAGGGCGGAGGAAACTTCATGTGCTTTCCCCTACCCCCAGACCCTCATTGGCCTGGGGGTGGGGGAGTGACAGGGCCTCCGTGGGCCGGATCAACCTGCTTGGCGGGATGGATCTGGCTCACAGAGGCCCTTTTGCCCACCCCTGACGTAAGAGAAGCACCTGCTGTTTTATGTGTCTCAACGATGTACGGCTTAATCCATCTAGCTAGTGGCAGCTTAGCACTTTGGATGAAATCAAACAATCAAGGAGCCAGGTCACTGTGTTGATTTGGTGCACTTGACAGAACTCTTTAGCACTCTTCAAATATCAAAGTGTCCTACCACTTTTCTATTGGGGCTGGAGCTTTGGACAAAATGAAGGGATGAGGATCTCCTATTAGACATGAAAAAATTAATTCACCCCAGGCAAGACTGATTCTGGGATTTTTAGTCCTGGAACACACAGTGGGATTCCTGCATGGATTAAACTGCAAATTCAAAGACTCATGTAGCAGACATGATGGCAAACACAAACATGGGTTTTGAAGGAGAGGTAGATGAGATGCATCAATAGCTCAAAAGGGTAGGTTATTATGGCTTTTAAATACCAGTGGTAGGTCACATTAGGAAAATTTGGTTTAATTACAGGTTTAGCAAGCCTGACTGCTCTAAGAAATCCAGATACTGGAGGGTTCTTTGTAAATAGGATGCTACTTAAGGCTACACCTGGCATACTATGGAGCTAGACTGAAATCCCTTGTCCATGGCCACCTGAAGAAAACCCAGGATAACTGGGATACCAAGATCCATGGGATTTTGTGTGTTTTGAACACTACAAGCTAAAACAAGTCCAGATGGAGAAACAGGACTTTAGCACTGAAGCCTGCCTGCAGGAGAGTATCACTTTGGAAGATAGTCCAAGCTAACACTTCCCTTTCAATAACCAGGCTATCAATTGTAGACGGTGAGGGTCTGGATGGAGGAATGGGTCTTGGTAAAAGATGTCTGGTCTAAACTGCAGCTTCAATGATGGTTCCAACTTCAGTACTGTCAGTTCAGGGAACCATGGTCTAATTTGACAGTGCAGAACTCACACTATTACCTTTGCTACTTTTCACCTTATCCTCTAGATTACCTCCTCAAAAGTGGGAAAGGAAAAAGGGGTAAGGACTTATGAATAGCTGTGTGAGGGATTTAAGGTCTGCTATCCTGGTAACATTCTTGCTCAGTTTTTCTTCCTATGATTGGCTCAGCTGCTGGAAGAGTGCACTCCTATGAAATCAGGTGCAGTCAACAATTCAGAATGATGTCAATCACCTGAGCCAGTCTGCCTTTTGGTTCAGCTCCCCTTTCATTTGTATTGCTCTTATGTAAGAAAGAGTTCTCCATGTCCATTCCACTATCTCCTGCATTTCTTTGTAGCGTTACACTCCTTGTTCTCTCTTTGGTTGCTGATGTACAACTCCGTGATCATGCCGTTGGACTGGACCCCTTTAGTTCTGGAACCTCTGTATCTCTAGTTTGACACCTTGCATTGCCCTGTCCCCCAAGTCTACTTCCCTTCCTGTTAGGCTAACATTGGTTGTACCTCCTGGTCTGGAAGACCTATAGAAAGATCTTTGCAGATGTTCTGTGCGGTTGTCCACCATTGCAGAGAGATCAGCTTCTAGTCTGGAACCATCACCTGTTCTTGCTTGCTTTCCAGTGAGCGATTCTATACATTCAGAGAAAGGCCTAAATGCACCTGATATGGAAACTTGCTCAGGAGGCACTATCTGGACACAAAATCAAGGTCAGGAAGTTGCAGACAATGAGCTATGGTCAGCCTTGCACACTTCAACATGGATATCAGGAAAACGTGGAACTGACCAGCGAGTGATAGGCACGTCTTTATCACAGAAAAGTGTATTTCCATTCTCACAAGAGCAATTCTTTGAGTTGTCAGTCCAGCAGCAATTCTTGGTATTTATCACAAATCCACATGCTTGACGCAGATTTAGCATCTGGATCGTGGCACTGTGCAACATTGCTTGGGTTGGAGCGCTGATCTAGTTGTCATCTAGGAAACGATACCAATGACTGCCCTGAAACCCGAGCCTGGCTATCTTGGCACAGACCCTGGAGGATGAACATGCAAAATAGGAGCATGTAGTATTGGTGGTGGGCTATGCCATATGCTAATCTGAGCAATTTGCAGTGGCATGGTTTTATGGGAATATGGAGAAAATGAAAGTCCTCTTGGAAGAGGGATATTAGTCTTTCTATCCCATTTTCTTCATCCAGTTATTGAGCCACTTAAGATCTGGGATAGCTGTGATGCCCGTTATTCTCCACATGTTTCTGGGACAATGAAGAAAATGAAGCTTACTCCCAAGAATCTTTCTTCTGAGGGAACCCTTTCTATTTCTCCTATGTTCAGGAAATGCAAGATTTCATCTAACACCAACTCCCATTGGATGGGATCACTCATGAAGCAACGGGGAGGGCCTTAAGTTCAAGGAAGCATTTACAACTTTTTTGTCCTGTAAACCACCATTAGAATGAAACTAGGGATGTGATAGTATTCATGTGTAAGTGGTGAGCCCTGCCTCACCAGTTAACCTTTACGGTTTCACACAGGCTCCCCACCCCCTGCGCTGCTGCCTCTGTATCAGAAGCAGCAGCACAGAGGAGTGGGGAGGGTTGTGTGGGACCAGGCAGCTCTGCAGGAACCAGTACGTGTGACTTAAAACCTGGCTCCCCATGAGTACTGGTTTCTGCCTGCTACCTGCTCTCCTCCTCCTTTCTGTCTCTGATACAAAGGCAACAGCACTGGGAGGTGCAAGCAACGGCCTCCCCTCCCTGTGTGTAAATACACATTTACCAATATGATCACATTTTAACATCCCTGAGACCATTCTTCTTAGGAAAGGTCTACACTACCACTTACATTCAATCTAACCTCAATCCCTCTGTGATATGAAAGAGACACCCCCCCACCCAATGATTAATGCATCTTAGTGACCTAAGTGCCATCATCCACACTGGTACTACGCAAATGGGAGATACTCTCCTGCCTGTTATGGAAGAGTAATTATGACGACGGGAGAGTGCACTCCCATTGGCACAGAGTATCTTCACCAGCTGCACCAAATGTAGTGCTTCTAGTGTAGACCTGCTCTGAGAAGTAGGAAATTCTGCCTCCTAAATTCAGGCCTGGGAAGAGGCATGCTCAGTTGTTGTCATAGTGAACTCTTAAGGTTTTCCCCAGGACACCTGCTCTCTTTCCTCTGGTACATTTGTGAGGCAGATGGAAGGGGCGACTGTCTACTGCTTGTAGTCGCTTCTCAGAGTACTGAGTGGGAAGGAGAGGGGAAGAACTTTCAATTTAGCAGTGCTTTCTCCCACTATTTTGTCTAGCTTTTACTGAAAGAGGAGAAAGCCTGTAGATGATCACAGAAGTTGTTTGGAATGAACACTGACCTTTCAGGAGCAAAGCCAGATGTTGCATCTGGCTGATGAGTTGGATCCATGGTTCTGGCTGAAAATCTCATTGCATACATTGTGGCATCTGCCTCCAACATTATCACTAGGGAAGTGTTCTTAAGTGTAGACAGAAAATCAGGACAGCTTCTGTACTTCAAGGCTTTAAGATCATCAAGCCAGGATACTGGCTTCTGCAAATAATGCAGCCATCAATGATGCTCTGTAGATGGCCAATGAAGCAGCAAACACCTAAAACCAACAATTCTGATGGTGGCTTCCACATTCATCAGTTGGATGAAATGTCTGGTTTGAAACCACACACATCATCAGTTGGATCATCTTGCATCACACAAGCCACGGGTCTTCCTGGAATTATTCCCTGATTAAACTATAGCACAAAAAAAAAGTTATTAAAAAGTGTTGTGTCTGCTAGTTCACACTTAGGAATGATCTGCATTTTCACAATGAAAAAACTAAGTATAGTGCCAAAAAACAAAAACACAGGTAGAAGTTGGGAATAAAATCTCCTCTTGCAGAGAAAATAAGTAATATTTTTTTCTTCTTCTCACTGGCACTAGGACAACGAACAATAAAGCAAAATACTTCAATTTCTGGAATCTGGAAAAAAACTCCTGGGCAGAACAGGAGTAAAAATCTGACCAGAACAGTTAAAATATTCAGTGTTTAGAAGAATCCAATTTACTGTTAGCTATTAAAACCTCTCTGGCACTACCACAATAGCATAAGAATACTAATTTCTTCAAACCTTCCATTTCAATGGCTTAACAGGCAAGCTCTAAAAACACTCCCCATAGTCCCAAAAGTTTATACAATATTTGATACCTTTAAAGTTTAATTCTTCCAATTGTATTGGTTTCTGAATAAAGTACCATCTTGCATTATGAATAAAACTGATTAGTTATTCTCAGTTCTCCAAAGCCACATATACACACCTCCCAAATCATTTTTCTACACTGTGTATTTGATACTTTAGATTTCAAGAATTAAACAAATACATTTTAAGAAATAAAAGTGGTTTCATATATAAAGGCCATTTTTTTTTATGCATCCATAATCAGTGAGACTTCTTCAAAAATTGTTAATGTATTTTATAAGCTTCAGTTTAAAATCTCAAAACAAAGTTGAGGCTACGGCTACACTGCCGTTTTTTTTTCTCCAGAAGATATGCAAATCGTGCTTGCATTTGCATATCTTCTTCTGATTCTTTTTGTGGAAGAGGTTTTTCCAATATTTGGACCCATGTAGACAGGACCAAATGTTGGAAAAAAACCCTCTTTCACAAGACCCTGCAAACCTCAATTTATGAGGAATAAGGGGTCTCGCGGAAGAAGGTTTTTTCCAACATTTGGCCTCATCTATACAGAGCCAAATATCAGAAAAGCTTCTTCTGCAAAAACAATTGGAAGAAGATATGCAAATACGAGCACAATTTGCATATCTTCTTCCAAAAAAAAAAAAAAAGGCAGTGCAGCCGTAGCCTGAGTGGATACCATTTAAACAATTTTTAAAAAATCTTTTATATCACATTTCAATATAAAAATAATTGTATCTATTAAGACTATTACTTCCCTGAATATAAACGTTTATGTTAATGGAGGATCGACAGATGGGAACTAAAATCAGAAAGCGGAACATCCACAAAATGAAGGAAAAACCAGGCCCAATATCTTTTTCAGGTTTCTTCCTAACTGACTTCCATAATAATTACCTCTCCCCCGTAAGAATTTATCATACTGGATGAAAGTGAGTTTGGCATGGCTTCTTCTCTGATAAGATTTGGAGAGCAAAAAAATCCAAATGCTGATCACAATCTATGTACCTAACACTTACTCAGGAAACCTGCCAAAAACTGCCCTTTCAATTTTGAACACAGCTGTCAGTACACATTAACTTTCTTAGGCACTCAGTCACCACTTAGATTCTCTTAAAAACTCTAGGTTTCTTATGGGTTTTTTCAATTCAGTAGGTAACTCATTCTTTTGTATTAATTTATACTGGAATAATTTTCTGCTAGGGTATATGAAGGTTTCCATATAGTGAGAGAAAACTATATACACATATCCCAAGACTGCAACACCACATTCTTAAATGCATTAACATTAAATTTCAAAGTAATGAAATACTTTAATATGCTGAATCCAGCTTGAATATTGCATCTTCCCAAAGAGCATAAAATATGCATAATGTAAGAAATGCAATGTTAACATAAAAACAAAATTCCCTCTACCCAAAATACTAGAATTCAAATTGACAATCAAACAATCCAGAGACCCTTAATTTAAAGGTCTGTTTCAAGTAGTCTTTCTTCCCCCTAATGTTTCTTGATAGACAATGAATCTTCTCAAATTCATTTTTACATTGTCAAGAACACACAACTGATCTGTACTGTACTGTCCTTTTCCTTCTTTCCGCATCTGCAATAAAAATATAAATATATATTTTAATTGAGAAGGCTGCTCTTCAGATTAGGACAGCCAAGTACTCCTCTGAAGCCCTCTGGCAAGATACGATGGATAACTCAAAAATTGTAAATTCACAGCACACTCTCTCTCCTCTCTAATGGTTAGCAATTCATACTATAAGACATTTTACTGCTCCACAGAACCCCTTCTTAATGAAGATTAGGCATTACCAGATATCTGGCCAGTACTATTATTGGCATCCGATTTCACAGTTAAACCTCTAACACATATTTATTCTCTGTAGATATTGTAGGGGAAAGCCCTAGCATTGCTCTCAGAAATAAAATGATGTGCAAAGTAGGGATGGAAAAAATATTTACAAATAATAACCGTGTAAAGGATAACAATTCGATCAGTTACTCGCTTAACTGTGGGGCTCAGCTGCCAGCTTTGCAGGGCTGCTGGCTGTGGGCCCATGGTGCAGTGAGCCCAGGTGTGCTGGAGCAGCACTCCGCCCACTGTGGGGCAATTGCTCCATCATGGCCAGGTGCCAATTAACTGATTACAGGTAAGGATCATCCAGTTAACAGATTATATCCCTAGGGCAAATCATTCACATATTTAATGAAGAGTCCATTTTTGGAGTATGACAACCAATTCTTTTAGGGTATGTCTAGACTACAGGGTTTTTCCAAAAGAAGTAGTCTTTTTTCAAAAAAACTTCACCTGCGTCTAGACTGCAGCTGTGTTCTTTCGAAAGTAAATCAAAAGAACACGGTAGTTCTTTCAGTCACAGTAAACCTCATTTTACAAGGAATAACACCTTTTTTCTAAAGTACTCTTTCGAAAAAAGGTGCTATTGAATGCAAACTCTGCATTTTCGAGATTGTATAGACTCTCGAAAAAGCGGCTCCCTTTTTCAAAAAATCTGCTTGTAGTCTAGATGCTCTCTTTCGAAATCTGCTTGTAGTCTAGAAGTAGCCTTAGAGTGGATTTGTCTTGCCCTGAAAAAGTGTCTCTCAAAAGTGGTCCATGAAACCACTCTGAGAAACCTGCTAACTGGGACGCTCCCGTGTATTTATTTACCACAGCCACAGAGCCACACCCTAGAATGATGGACCAATAGATATCAGGCCATCCAACAATAAAATAAAAGGCATACATTTTAAAAGTATATTAGAGTTTTTAAGCTTTCTGGGTGTCACCTGGCTAAAGCAACAAAATAGTTTCAAAATGTGCTACCCTTAAAAAACAATTCACTTTAATTTGAGGGATTGTAAATTTCACTTATCAATACAGGATTCTGGCCAAGACCTATCTTAACAGCAACAGGATAAGTACAGGCAGTCCCCAGGTTACGTACAAGGTAGGGACTGTAGATTTGTTCTTAAGTTGAATCTGTATGTAAGTCGGAACTGGCATCAGCCGCTGCGAAACTGATCAGTTTCAACCGCGGCTGAATCTGGATGCCAGTTCTGACTTGCATACAGATTCAACTTAAGAAACCCAGGCGTCCCCAAGTCAGCTGCTGCTGAAACTGATCAGCGGCTGATTCCAGGAAGCCTGGGGCAGAGCAACTCTGGGGCAAACGAGCAAAGCTGCCAGGCGGCGGCTTTGCTTGGGTGTCCCTGGTCTGCTGGGGGGGTCCAGCGGCTTTGCTGGACCCCCCCCAGCAGACCAGGGAGACCGGGAGAAGCTTTTCTTGCCCCGGAGGACACAGGTGGCGACACGCCGCCCGTGAGCTCCGGGGCGAGAAAAGCCCCGTTCGTAAGTGCGGATCTGACATAAGTCGGATCTGCGTAAGTCGGGGGCTGCCTGTATATGCACATTTGGAAACCCATGCAAATTAAAACAAAAAGACAAACTAGTTTCAGCAGAGGACTTTCTCTCTCCCCTCTCAGGGTTTGGCCCTCTCTACTCATGGAGGAATTGGCAGAATAAACAATCAGGATTTCAGAAAAAGATGGACAATAATTGGAAGTAAATATAGGATTGTTTCTTTATGCACAGGGTTAAACTCACTATTAAGAAAGGAATTTTTCTTTCCATCTATAGCATGCTAAGAATATAAGACGTTTGGCTTTTTGCTCCTTTCTGTGCACCAAAATTGTTTACAATGACGTGGGCATATTCCATAGAATTTCCTGGTAGTACGATCAGCTAAACCAATCTCAAGTCTTAACTTGCACTGTGTTTTGAAACTTTGGACTAGTTACTAGCTTGTGGGATGCCTACCCTCATTTTGAAGACTGGCTGGAATTCCTTCAGTGCAGGGAGCAATTTAATCTGAAGTGCTGCCTTTTCAGCTTCTTTCCCATCTGCAAACACATCAAAGAGAGCATCCAGAGCTTCTCCAGCTACCACAAGAGAAGAATCCTTCATAGCAACCTCAAGAAGAAATTTTCCAATAATCTGAAAAGAGATACCTATTTTTAAAAAACATGGCATTATAGAACAATGGCAAGTAATTGCCACTAAAGCAGTTTAGGGGCTGCTATCAATGTATTTTTTACCTTTAGTGTTTCAGCTGTATCTTCTACTTTAGCCAGCACGCTACCAGCTATTCCCAGGATACTAACTACATTTACTCTAACACTGATATTACTGCTATGAATACCAGCTTCACATAAAGTCATCAGCTGCTCAGGAGACATACTCTGTTTAAAGAAAAAGGGAAGAAAACTTAATGCCAGACAATTTTTAATTTCCAGATAAACTCTATTTCAAAGAAAAATCTTTAGGTCATTTGCTTCTCTAGAAGACGAATCTATAGCAGATGATCAGCCTTTGTATATTATGAAAAATGTTAAGGCTGAAGATGGAATCAGTTTGGAGATCATTAAACTATTCTTTTACTCCTTCAGAAACTTCCTCCAGAATAGGCTTAAAGCTGATTGTCATGGTTCTGTAGGTAAAAAAGTCCTGAACCAAAAAAGCCACATATTTACCTGTAATATTTTAATACCTCCCTCTAAGACATTACAAATACTTCAGAAACTCTTTATTCATAGACCCATAGCATTTAAAGCCAGATAGGACCATTAGATCATCTACTCTGAAGTATATCACAGGCTATTAAATTTCACCCAGTAACCCCTATACTGAACCAATAACTTGTATGGCACCTCTGGACCCCTTGCTCCATTCATCTGAAGAAGTTGGCTGTGCCCACGAAAGCCCATACCACCATCTACATTTTTTGTTAATCTCTGAGGTGCGGCAGGACCATTCGCCATTTTAAATGTTTTTTGTATGGCTAAAGTACATCTTCTAGAAAGGTATCCAGTCTTGAAGCTGTCAAGTCAGAGAGACTCCACCACTAGCCTTGGCAGTTTACTAAACAAAATGCTAAAACCTGTGGCGCCTGCAAAACAGCTTGATTTTACATTTCTTTTTGTTTTTGAAAAAGTTGGCCCAACTGTGTGTCTTTAAATAAGTATATGAAATAACCACTGGGCTCAGAACTTTTATGAAAGGTTTTTTCTAGGGACATATTTTTCCAGCAACCTTATTAATCTATGAGAAAAATGAGGATGAATTTTGTTGAACCCGTAATTCTAACAGCTCTACTGAGCACCATTACAATGCTTAAACATTAAACATCAAGTTAAGAATTTAACACTCTTTGAAGATTGGTTTGTTTCAAAACCGTAGAAGTACAATCTGATGTAAAATGTACTATACAGGTTGGACCTCCCTGGTTCAGCACCCACAGGACTTGACTGGTCCCAAATGAGGGATTTTGCTGGAACAGGGGAGGTCATTTTTGGACCCCCTGCCACCGGATTCCCTCGCCCTGCCTCTGGCCTC